GCAGGGGCTTTTTTTCCTTTTTGTTTCGGACGAACTTCGATGCTTTTTTTTTTTTTTGTTTTTTTTTCCCTCCCCCCCCCCCCCCCCGCTACGAAGTGCTTGGAGTTGAGGCCTGACATCAAACAGAGCTGATTCGACACTTTTTTTTCTTTCTGGCGCAGAAGAGGGCGGAGCGAAAAGAAAGTAAATTCCCCACAAACAATACATACAAATAATACAGAAGGGCGGAGACTGGGATATATACATATATACATACATTTATATAGACACGCACACAAACAGAGAGAGAGAGAGAAATAGAGAGGCAAGAGCACATAAATACTTTTGCACCGGGGGAGGAGGCCGAAGAGGAAAAGGGTGAGAGGGAACACGCCGTACGTTCATACATTGATTCCTTTGTGTGCCTGTACACACTTCATACCATTGCCGGCATAAAGGGCGGGGAAAAAGTTGTAGTCAATACGACATTATTGAGCGGAGGGAATACAAGTAACCATCCATCAGAGGAAAGGACCATTAAAAAAAAAAAAAAAGAGGACACACAAGACAGAGGCGGCCGGTGGCTGTCTTATTCGTTTATATTTTTTGAGAAAGGAAAAGGGGAGGAGAAGAAGAAAGGGGGAAAAAAAAGACAGGTAAAATATAAGGGCGTAGAATAAACGCACAGAAGAAGTGAAGAGGACATTCGAACAACAACGACAAAAAATGGCTAATCGAACTGTGGAGGAGATTTACCAAAAGAAAACACAGCATGAACACATTTTGTCTCGCCCTGACATGTACATTGGCACAATTGAACCCGTCACGGAGGACATGTGGCTCTACGACGAGGCGGAGAATATCATGAAGTTACGAAAGTGCACTTGGACGCCCGGGCTTTATAAAATATTTGACGAAATTCTTGTCAATGCCGCGGACAACAAAGTGCGGGACCCGCTCGGTCAGACTGCCATCAAGGTGTGGATTGACGCCGAGAGGGGTATGGTGCGGGTATACAACAACGGCGAGGGTATCCCCGTGCAGCGGCACCGCGAGCACAACTTGTGGGTACCAGAGATGATTTTCGGTTATTTGCTGACGTCGTCCAATTACGATGACACCGAGGCGAAAGTCACTGGCGGCCGAAATGGCTTTGGTGCAAAGTTAACGAATGTTTTTTCCACGCGGTTTGAGGTGGAGACGGTGCATAGCCGCTCTCGCAAGAAATTCTTTATGCGGTGGCGGAACAACATGTTGGAAAGCGAGGAACCCGTCATTACGCCGTCTGAGGGGCCAGACTACACCGTCGTGACATTTTACCCGGACTTTGCGAAGTTCAACCTTCAGGGGTTTGGCGAAGACATGGTGCACATGATGCGACGTCGTGTGTATGATGTAGCAGGCTGCACAGACAAGTCCCTTCGCTGCTACCTCAACGATACAAAGATTGCCTGTTCCTCCTTTCTAGAGTATGTGGATCTGTACCCAATGATGGGCGAGGAGAGAAAGGCGGCGAGTTATGCCCGCGTGAATGGCCGGTGGGAGGTGTGTGTGCGTGTGTCAAACATCGGGTTTCAGCAGGTGAGCTTTGTGAACTCCATCGCCACCACGCGGGGTGGAACACACGTGAGGTACATCACGGACCAGGTGATCGCAAAGGTGACGGAGCAGGCGAAGCGCAAGAGCAAGACGGAGGTGAAACCGCACATGATTCGTCCCCACCTTTTTGTGTTCATCAACTGCCTCGTCGAGAACCCCGGCTTTGACTCGCAGACGAAGGAGACACTGAACACGCCAAAGAACCGCTTTGGATCCACCTGCGACCTCCCACCCTCCATGATCGATTGCATTCTGAAATCCAGCATTGTGGAGCGGGCGGTGGAGATGGCGAACAGCAAACTGACGCGGGAGATTGCCTCCAAACTGCGCAACGCCGACCGCAAGCAGATTCTTGGAATTCCCAAATTAGATGACGCGAATGAAGCGGGCGGAAAGTATAGCCATCGTTGTACCCTTATCCTCACGGAGGGGGACTCAGCAAAGGCGCTTTGTACGGCCGGACTTGCCGTGAAGGACCGTGACTACTTTGGCGTGTTTCCATTGCGTGGGAAACCCCTCAACGTGCGTGACGCAACACTGAAAAAAGTAATGGCGTGTGCAGAGTTTCAAGCTGTCAGTAAGATCATGGGCCTTGACATTCGTCAAAAGTACAGCGGCGTGGAACGGTTGCGTTACGGACACCTGATGATCATGTCAGATCAGGATCATGATGGCTCCCACATCAAAGGCCTCATCATCAACATGATTCACCACTATTGGCCAGATTTAATTAAGACACCTGGATTCCTGCAGCAGTTCATTACGCCTATTGTTAAGGCACGTAAAAAAGGACGTTCCGATGGTGACGATCGTGCCATTTCCTTCTTTTCAATGCCGGACTACTTTGAGTGGAAGAACGCCATTGGCGATGGCATACGAAACTACGAAATACGGTACTACAAAGGGCTCGGTACCTCAGGCGCGAAGGAGGGACGTGAGTATTTTGAGAATATTGACCGTCACCGGCTTGACTTTGTGCATGAGGACGCAACCGATGACGCCCGCATTGTCATGGCCTTCGCGAAGGACAAAGTAGAGGAAAGAAAGCACTGGATCACACAATTTAAGGCGAACACAAATGTGAACGAGTCTATGAACTACAACGTTCGAACTGTGAGGTACTCGGAATTTGTGGACAAGGAGCTGATTCTTTTTTCTGTGGCCGATTGCGAACGTTCCATCCCGAGTGTAATAGACGGCTTGAAGCCTGGACAGCGTAAGATTATTTTTTCTTCCTTCAAGCGTCGTCTCACACGTTCCATTAAGGTGGTCCAACTCGCCGGTTATGTCTCTGAGCATGCGGCGTACCACCACGGGGAACAATCGCTGGTACAAACGATTGTGGGACTTGCCCAGAATTTTGTGGGCTCCAATAATGTACCGCTTCTGCAGCAAGACGGTCAGTTTGGTACACGACTCCAGGGGGGAAAAGATCATGCTGCGGGTCGTTACATATTTACCCGCCTCACAAACATTGCGCGGTACATTTATCACCCATCGGATGACTTTGTTGTGGACTACAAGGATGATGATGGTCTTTCGGTGGAGCCTTTTTACTACGTGCCGGTCATTCCGATGGTGTTGGTGAATGGCACCTCCGGTATCGGGACGGGGTTTGCGACGAACATCCCCAACTACTCACCCCTTGAAGTCATAGATAACTTGATGCGTCTTTTACGGGGGGAGGAGGTTCAACCGATGAAGCCATGGTACTTTGGTTTCGCCGGCACCATTGAAGAGAAGGAAAAGGGAAAATTTGTCTCCACAGGGTGTGCCAATGTGCGACCGGACGGTGTTGTGCAAATCACAGAGCTGCCTATTGGGACGTGGACGCAGGGTTATAAAAAGTTTCTTGAGGAGCTGCGCGAGAAGGAGGTTGTGGTACAGTACCGCGAACACAACACAGATGTGACAGTTGATTTTGAGGTCTTCTTACACCCCGAGGTGCTCCATCATTGGGTGGCGCAAGGCTGTGTGGAGGAGAGGCTGCAGCTGCGTGAGTACATCCACGCCACAAACATCATTGCCTTTGACAGGGAGGGGCAGATCACGAAGTACCGCGACGCCGAGGCGGTACTAAAGGAGTTTTATTTGGTGCGCCTTGAGTACTACGCAAAGCGGCGAGATTTTTTGATTGGTGACCTGCGATCTGTTGCGTCCAAGCTGGAGAACATGGTGCGCTTTGTGACGGAGGTGGTGGACGGCCGCCTTATTGTGACGCGGCGACGCAAGAAGGAGCTGCTGGAGGAGTTGCGACAGCGCGGCTACGCCCCGTTCCCTCTCCAGCAGAAGAAGAAGGTGAGCTCCACCACAATCCAGCAGGGGGAGGAGGAGGGTGCAGCGGATGCCACACACGCCACGGCGGAGGACGTTTTTCTTGTGCTGCAGCCCGCCGTCGATGAGGGGGGAGATGAGGACAATCAAGAAACCCCCGAGATGCGACGTGCTGCGCGGGACTACGACTATTTATTAGGGATGCGGCTGTGGAATTTGACTGCGGAAATGATCGCGCGGCTGCAGTCGCAGCTGCAGAAGGCGCGTGATGAACTTGCTGCGCTGGAGAAGCGGACACCGAAGGATTTGTGGGCGGAGGACCTTAACCAGCTGCGTCCACGCATTGAGAATTTATTTGAGGAACGCGCAAAGGAGATTGCATCCATTCAGCGGAAGAAGATGGAGAAGAAGCGATCGTTCGACCCGCGAAGGCTGCGCGTGCCGCTGCTGTCGGAGAAGGCGCGACAGGCACTCGCGAAGGAGTTCATCAAAACCGAAAAGAAGGGCGGTCGTGCGGCACGCGTGGATGGCGACGCGGGTGGCGACCGTAAAAACCCATCAGTCGGGCGTAAACCCGCGGCAAAGCGGAGACGGAAGAAGAACTCAGATGACGACAGCGATGACATTGATGCTGATGACGATCTCTTTATGAGTGATGCCAGCGGCGGCGGTGGTGGAAGGGGTTGGCGGCCCGGCGACGAAGAAGGAGACGGCGGCAGCGATGGTGTCGTGCTGGACGATGACGGCCCCGGCAACAACGCGGGCGGCGGGGCAACGAAGCCGCAGCCGAAGCGACCGACGGCGAAGCGGGCACCTCGGAAACCGAAGGAGGAAGGCCTCAAACGTGTCAAGAAGGAGGCAGCGAAGAAAGTTGTCGTCACCGATGATTTTGACATTGACGAATTTGGCATTGAGGCTCTCACACGCACCGCGCCGAAATGTAACAACAAAAACACCACCACCACCGCCAAAACAACAACTGCAGCGTTCACACCACCACCACAATCAACGCGGGTGGCTTCAGTAATTGACACGGACACAGACGATGATCTTGCGCTTCTGGGCATTAGCAGCGTCGATAAGAAGACGTTGGCTCCCGTGCCACCGCCAAAGCGGTCACCACAACGGCCGAAATCACAACCGAAGAAGTCGCAAGGCTCCAGGAAACGTCGCCGCAGCAGCAGCAGCGATGAAGACTCTTTTTTTGATGACGACGATGACGATGATGAAGACGACGATGATGAGGCTTCGAGCGGTTCATCGTCGTATGACTTCAGTGATTAAAAAAAACAAAAAAAAAAAACAGAGCACCCGCCCACTCTGAAGAGGCAGGAAAGCAAAGGCGGGGCTGTGGGAGTAAGAAAGAGCACTTATACTTTTGTTTACATCCAGAGGGTGGAGGAATATCGGCTTGGGAACAAAATTCATGATAAGAGGGAAAGGGTGTGGTGAATGTGGTAGAGAGAAGGTGAACGCATGAATGAATAAATTAGGATGTGAGGGAAAAATATTGGAAGTTTCTTTGCGCCTGCGCCTGCTTGTTTCTTTATTTTCAGAGGCATTTCTCTTTTCTTCTCTCACCACAAACAGACACACACTTACAAAAAAACAACAATAACAACACGAAACAAAAACGGACGTGTATACTTGTTTATGCATGTGTTTTCTCATCCCACTGTGCTGCCTTTTCAGATGTTGCTGGCAAAGGTGAGGTGTCCGTTCGGTTTTTTTTTTCTTTTTTTTGAATGTTTGCCAACGGGGTGGTGTGTGGCGTTTGTGCACGTTACTGTCGCAACAACAATAATAATAATAAGAATAACAATAAGAGGAATAAGAAGGCGTCAGACGGAGAAGGAAGTGACGGAAGGAGACAGTAACCCGGCTGGTTGACTGGAGTGGCATATTGATGGATTACTCCGCATCACGCCGAGGGATGGAAGTGGGACGAAAGCGTCAAAACCCGCCGTTTGTTGTCATTGTTATTGGGGAGGTGTTTAACGCCTCCTCCCACCCTCTGTTCCCTGTCGCCCCAGCAGAGGAACTTCCCTTCGCCCTGCTGCCTGTCTGCAACACACCCGTCATTGACTACATCCTCGAGAATCTCGCGGGAAATGGAGCAAATGAGATTTATATTTTACTCAATAGCGAGTCTGTGGCGCCAGTGTGTCAACATCTGCAGGGCAACCGTACCGCCTGCAGCAGGCCGGGAATGCAGGGGAGCGACTTGAAGGTGGAGGTTGTGGCGAGTACGCGTAAAATGACAAACTTGTTTGATGCCGCAACGCAGATTTTGGAACAAAACATTGTACAACAGAACTCATCATTTCTTTTTGTGCCGATTGATGCGATTGCGTCCTTTCAGAATTTGTCTGATCTCTTGGAGACACACATTCAGCGGACAATGAATATTAAAAATTACGCGGCAACGATGCTGTGCGCGTCTGTCAAGTCTCTTCTGGAGGACACTCTTCATGATGTCCTTGTTGGGGAGCTTAACAAGCAAGAGCGTGCGGCCGGCAGCTCTATATTAGAGCGGGACTCTACGAGCACCGTTGGCGTGAACATTGGCGCGGCAGAGAGACGCCCACATACGGCTCCAGAATACCTGCCGAATCACTTGACGATGTTTACGCTAGAAAAATCGACAGGTGTTGTGCACAACATGGTGCGTTTGGAGCAGGACGAGAAGCTGGCAGAGGCTGTGACGATGAACTTTAGAAAAAATGAATCTCTTTCCGTGAGGACCGATCTTGGGCCTACCGGGTATTTTTTTTGTTCTGCAGGGGCATTGTCGCTCTTTACATTTCACACGGTGGATGCACACTCATTCTTCGTCAGCTTATTGGCCAGTCAAGAGTTGTTTGGCAACGTCTTTGGCATTCAAGCTGTGACACCACCCATGGGCATTATACAACCCATCAACAGTCTTAGGGCTTACATTCAAGCAAACATTGATGTCTGCTTCCGCCGCATGTTTCCTCTTACACGTGAATCTAGCTTTTTAGGGGATGGATTTCGATACGCTGTGTCGCCGCACTGTCAGAGTGTCTATCTGCACCAGAAAAAGGCTGAGGTGCTCTCGAACACGTGTGGACCATCGGTTGTTGTTGGGGAACAGGTAGTGGTACCACCCAACACAGTGATACGTGGAACTGTTCTCGGGAAGGGAGTTCGGATTGGCGAGGGCTCCACCATTATTGGTTGCGTTCTGCTGGACGGGGCAGTTGTTGGACGCGGCTGCTTCTTAATTCGCTCCCTCATTGGCTACAATGTTGTTCTGAATGATAGGGCAGAGGTGTCAAACTCCATTATTGGTAGTGGCTGTAATATTGGCGTGGTCCCGTGCGGCAGTTGCATAACTGATAGTAATTCCCCTCCAGGAGGGGTTGTTGTGCAGGATAAAGCGATTATTAACTGCGAGGTTTCGCAGACTGAGGAGGGAATCACTGGACATGGGGGCCGAGGCAAGGCCCTGCCGAAGCGACATGTCAACAACATTATTCCCACGCGGGAGCTCTTTGTGAGGGATCCAGTTCCGTGTGAGGCGAGTGAGGCATCCGACGATAATGATGGTGACGATGATGATGATGACGATTCAGAAAAGACGGCAGGTTTTAGGGAGGCGGTGGTAGAACTTGTGAATCAAGCACTGAGGAATCCCTCCCACATTGAACATTGCGTATTTCAAATGAGGAACACCCGTCTTTCATTCGAGCGCAAAAATAGTGATCTCTGCTTCATTGTAACGGAGCGTCTTCTAACACATGTATTAGAGAAACATGGCCCCAGCCACGACCCGCGCCCCGTGATTGAGGCGGTGAATGGTCTTTTTGGGCAGTGGTGCCATCCCTTCTATCTGGAGATGGTGACGGGGCAAGACGAGATGCAGGCGATAATGGAGGCCACCTGCATTGCCGTTGCTGATAGAAACTGCCTGCTGCACCTGCGCGGCCCGCAGCTGTTGGAGTGCCTATATAACGGCTGCGACGAGGAGCTGTACGACGAACGTGGGTATTGCATCGTCAGCGGCGAATCCCTCGTCGAATTTGGGGCACGAGTGCGCCGGTTGGCGCGGGAGCGTGAGATGTACGCCGATGACAATGAGGGGGATGCACGGAAGGAGGGCATGTTGCGCGTGGCGGTCAGTTGTTTGGGTTTTATTGATGGCGTGCGTGCCTTTCTTGAGGAGGAGGAGGATTCGCAGGAATGAGAGGAACGTTTGAGCAGCCCCACCGTGTAGCAGCGCAGCGAGAACAAGCACACACACACGCAAGTGGGAAACCGAGCCGGAAAGGGGGCCACAGGAAAATATTTATATTTATATATTTTGGATGAACGCCAAAGAAGGGGCGACGAACGTCCGTAGGGACTTCGCCACACGCCTTCAACACGCATGAATGAGAGGGTGTGCGTGTGAAGGAGATGCAGTTGTATAAAGACATAAGAGCGAGATATGAATAGAGAAAGAGAGGAAGGGGTGGGGGGTAAAATTATTTCTCATGAGCGAAAAGTTGCCGAAGTGACAAAGGCAAGAAAAAAAAAAAAAAAGAAAAAAAGAAAAAAAGGAAAAGAAAAATAAAAGGAGAGATTTGTGAAGCAACGGGATAAAACAGCAAGAGGGAGACACAAACAAATCTTGTGGTGGAATATATATCTATATCTATATATGCACACATTTTATATAAATGGTGAGATGGCGAAAAGCAAGGGGTTTATATGGATGGAAAATAAAAAAGAAGGAAGCAAACAAACAAACAAACATCAGGTGCCTCTCCTCTCAGCGTCTTTTTTCATGTGATAAACACATCTACTGCGTTCCTGAGCAGCACAGGCATAGTGTATATATATATATATATATTACCAACGACTTTATTTGCTGTTTTTTTTTTTTTTTTAAATTGAGGTGTTGGTAGTGGAGGAAGTCGTGTGTGGCGTTTACGGCTGCGTGCGTGCCTCTGTCGCTCCCCTCTTTTTAGTTTTATTTTTCTCCATTGGCTGAGATATATATATATATATATAGTTCTTTGCGGCGCCATCAGTAACGGGGGAGGAGGAGCGAAGACATGGACTTTGATTTGTCAACGTCCTCTGTGACGGAAGCACTGGGCGATCTTCAGATGAAACTGCAGTCGGTGCAGGAAGACGCCGAGTTGTACTCCAATTTAGAGAAAAAGGCCCGCAGTAGTTTCGAGCGACACCGCGCGGAGCTCACGCTTCTTCTGCAGAAGGAACGGGCCATTCATGCCGCCGCAGAAGACCGAATTCGCGATGAACTGCAGCGTCTGTTGATGGAGAACGAAAGGGCCAAGGAAGAATTGACGTCGATGCGGCTTCAGCGAGAGAAGCAGTGCCGCAATGAGATGCGGGCACGGCAGCATAAACGGGAGGGGCGAGAAAAGGCACTGCAGCGCGAGCTCTTGGAGCTGCAGGAACAAGTGAAAGCCACACGCACCGAGGCTGACCTCGCGCAGGAAGAGAAGACTTGGCATGAAATGCAGCTACGCGAGGTGTTGGGAAGACAGCGGGGCCTCAACGATGAATTGCAGCGGCTGCGGCAGGATGTGGAGGAGCAGCACACACGTGAAGCGGCTGAGGCTCAACGACAGGATCGATGCAGTCGGCGACAGGGTGTCTATTGCGGGCTGGAGAAGGTGTTTCTCCCGTCCGGGCCGCCCGATCGGTGCCACACCACTTCGCCTTCCTCGCACCACATCGCGGCCATTGTGTCGACGGTGGAGTGGCAGAATTACTACAAGCCACGGCTTTACTATCGACGCCGTGGCATCACTTCACCAATGGATAGACGACTAGAGAATTCTCCACGTTACGACATTAGTCCACTCGGTGAGACAAAACCGAAGCCTCTTTTGGGAAAATGCGAACCGTCAGGTTCGTTTTTGGGGAAGGAGACAGCGGTGGCATCGGCTTCATCATCACCACCGCGGCATGTGGTGGATAGTAGTGCAAAAACGAGGACACCGAGTCGTGCGGTGACGAAAAGTGGACGTCATCTTGAGGCGGTATGTCGTTCCTTGCTGCGCGAGATTCTTTCGTTGCGCAGGGAGTATCAGGACTGCAGTGTGGCACTAAATGACCCCGTAGCGGACTCGGTGGAGGTGAGTCGACGCATGCGCAGCATTATGAATGAATTGGACCGCAAGGTACATCAGCTTCGCAGTTTGCGGCAGCAGCAGGCAAAGGTAGAGGACAAACTGAGGTTACATGACATGATGATGGAGATTGCGGCTGAGAACAACTACTGTGAGAACATATACAGCGACCTACTCGAGCTCATTCGTTCCTAAATGGCGAAGGGAAGGTTAGAAGATACATGCACACATAGATTCATACACCTACCTACGCAGGACGCAGTACCCATACAGGTATATATGCAGGCTTCAGGGTTAATTGGCGTTCTTTTTTCTTGTTGTTGTCATTATCTGTACGTTTGTATTTTTATTTTTTGCCGTTTTTTACTATGTTGACTGGTTGTTGTTGTTTGTAGAGGCGTTGTTTTTTTCTTTTTCTTTTGATTTTCTCTTTTTTCTGTTTGTGTCTGTTTGTATGCATTGCGGGTGTGTTTGAAGTATCATCGACCCCCCCCCCCCCCCTACACACACACACACCTTTTACGACGCGCAGCGCATTTTGACATCCTTTTTTTTTTTTTTTTCTCTTTCCCCCTTTGTGCATGTCGATGTGTACCTGCATGCGTGTACGTGTGTATGGGCCGTTCTTTTTTGTAGGAATTAAGTCTGTTTGAGAGCGAGAGAAGGGAAGAAAATGACGGAGATGTTGCGGTGTCTGCTGCCGCACCTTGACAAGCACCTGGCGCTTGGCCTGCTGTACTTCTACGACGAACAGGGGCTTGACGTCGCGGATGCCCTCCGCGCTGTTCAGGCGACCACGGCGCTCACAGCGGAGGGTGAGGTGTCGGTGGAGCAGGAGCGAAAAATTAAGGAGACTGCCCAGCGCGCCCGACCGGCTCTCGATGAGTTCTTTGAGAAGAGCGAGACGGAGAACAGCACATATCAGTTCAAACTGACCGGAAGTGAGATTGATGCGCTGCGTAGCAACCGCGAGCTCTCCCGCGACGTGCTGGAGGCCAAAGGCATCACATCCAACGTCATGAAAGCCGTGATGGAGTTAGCTTATTTATACTACGACGCCGCCCGTTATACCGATGCCTCAGAACTGCTCTCGCTGTGTCAGTGCGTTGTGGGCTATGAAATTGATCAGAGGACACTTCTGTGGGGGAAGTTGGTCAGCGACATGTGCACATGCAATTGGCCTTCCGCCATTGCGGCGGCGGAGAAGATACGCCGGCAACAAAATGCGGATGTCTTTGAGGAGGACATATTTCGTGTTGCTAACACAACGACCACACGGGAACGGGCGTGGCTGTTGCACTGGGTGCTGTTCCCCTTTTTCAAGGGCGGCAATCAGTACTCCACGCACCTGCTGAACTTTGTCTTTGACATTAAGACAAACTTTGTCTACCAGAGCGTTGTGGAGACGGTGTGCCCGCACTATTTGCGTTACATCTGCGCTGCTGCCATACTTAACAAACAGCGTCGATCTGCCCTGCGAAGCGCTGCGGCGATGGTATTAAATGTTTACGAGTACTCTGACCCCATCACGCAGCTCGTAAATGCGATTGTTAACCGGCAATCCTTTGAAGATGCCCTTGCGCTGCTACCCGAGGTTAAATCGACAGCGCTTGGCGACTACTTCCTCAGCTTGCACGCGAATGAGATTTTGGAGAACGCGAGGCGGCTTATCTTTGCCCGCTACATGATGACTCACGGCGTCGTGTCCATTCCGTACGTGGCGGAGAAGCTAGGCACGCGAACCGCGGACGCAGAGGTGTGGCTCGCCAACCTTATCAGCGAGACGAAGCAGCGCGCAAAGATAGATTCCGTCTCGGAGCAGATGGTTGTGAGCTCACAGGCCCGCTCCGTGCATCAGACGGTGCTGGACAAGCTGGAGGTAGTGGACCGGCGCTAGGGGCGGCAGCGGCGGGCTGAGGCGAAGACCAAAGAAGGGAAGAGGGAATGATCGAATGGCTGCAGGATGAAGGGGAGGGAGGGAAAAAACAACAACAAAAAAAAGTAAACGAGCCGAAACACGAGAGGATAAAAGGGAAGAAAACATCAAAGGCAACCGAAACGGCGCAGTGAACCAGCAAGATGAGAGGGGAAGGGGTGTCAGTTTGTGTGTGTGGAGGGGCGGCGGTATCGTGACATCAGTGAAGGTACGCCACTGCCTTTTTTTTTGTTTTTTCCGTGCTTTCCTCCCCTCTTCACTTCATTCTACTCCCCTCCACGGTCTGATGGGAGGAGGGGACTTATCCCTTCTTTCCCTTTCTCTCTCTCTCTTTTTTTTTTTAAATATTTAACAACAAACGAAAGGCAGAAAAACAAAACAAAAAACAGAACAAAAAGAAAAACACGCAGGTGTGAAATGAAGACTCAACTAATGATACGAACAAACGAACTTTTTTTTTTTGCAGTAGATGCCGTTTCCCTGTTTTTTTACTTTTCTCCCTTCATTGGGGAGGAGGCTGCCGTCTGTTATGCATCCTGCCTGGCGGTTGTTCTGTTTGCCACATCCGTTTTTTCTTTCTTTTTTTATTTTTATTATAAATGTCTTGTCTTGTGTGCGTGCTGCCTTCGCTTCTTTTGGTGACGGGCTGAATTGTGTTGGGGGTGAGGCCGGCGGAGGGACAGGAAATTTTTTCACCAAAGAAAACGGGTCAACGTGAAGGACACATTACAGCGGAGTTTGTTTGGGGTGGCGGCGGTGAGAAGAGGAGAGAGGGGGATGCCAAATTGCGGGGCGCCAAGGCGGCCATCGGCGGCGGGTGAGCGACGCACCGCTGGACGTCTTTCAGCGCAAGAGAGATGGCTGCAGTCGTTCAACCCATACTGTCAACCGCTGTTGCTGCGACGGAAGCCATCATCGTTGTTGTCGTCTGCCGCGGTACCCGGAAGACGTGCTCGTTCCGCAGCATCGCCCCGCCACAAGGCAGTGGAGATCCGACCAGAGGTGGGGCTCCCCGTGACGAACGGTGATGCGCTTCTCCAGCTCACGCAGGAGGAGTGGAGTATATGCAACCTGATGGTCACTGTGCTCGAGCACAAATCCACGGAGGAAGCTCAACGCATTATTTCCGAGGTGGCCCAACTGGCGCTGAGCCGCCGTCTGCTAGCCCGATACAGTGGCGTGTACGCCGATGGCCATGTCAATGGCGAGGAAGACACTCGAGGAGACGAGGAAGAAAACGGGCGAGCTCAACTGATTCGTCATCTACAGGAACATCAGCGACGCGAGGCGGAGAGACGAAAGCAGTTGTGTGATTCCAAACGCCAGAGTCAACAGGGGGATATACGAGCACGTTGCAGGAAACTTTTTAACCGCAGTGGTGTAAATGGCGACGGTAATGCTTTGAAGGCGACGAAGAAGAGATGTTCGCCACGCAGGTGTAAGTCATCTGCCGAGGGAAATACGATGCAGCAACAGGGTGGACATGTCAATTTGGAGGAAATGGTGATGACGAAGACAACGGTTCCTGTTCCGAGCGTGCCATTGAATGTTCCACGGCGGGCAAAGGCATCCAAGGGCGTACTCTCCTTTGATGAATGCTGTGCAGACCGGTACGGTGGTGGTGCGTATTCAAATGACAGTATGGCATCCGTCTTGCCTCTTCGCTGCGCTGCAGTGAGCCCAACCGATGACTCCGTTCGGCGGTCAAATTCATTTCCCTCGGCAGGTGTTAATTACGATGATCATGATGCCATTAAGGGCATTTTTTCACATGATGATAGCAATGATATTCATACCAATGGAGCGCCTTCGGCGTTCATCTCCACCATGCGTCCTGCAACGACCAGCGAGACTTTCAATGATTTGTCATCCCTCTCAGGGTCCGCATTGCCGCCGTCACAATTGTTGGATGGGCACAACGGCGCTGGACTTCCACCGTTGAAGCCGACTACCCCTACTGCTGGATCGAGGACATCGGCACAACTGAGGGCAAAAGTGTCTTCCTCTTCCGTGTCTTCTTCTTTGATTTCTCCCTCCTCTAGCAGTCTCATCAGTGACGTGAAGCACGAGTGGGAGACGGGACTGCAATAAGCGTGCAGGCAAAATAAAAAGGGCAAGGAGAAGTGGTGGCGGAATGGGCGGATTCCCCGTGACGTCGCCACAAACGCACACACACAGACACGGCAGGGATGCAAAAAGGGTCAAATCCTTCGGAAGGAAAGAAGTGAGGACACAACTGAACATATATAAAAAAGAATAGCCCCAGCAAACAAATGTGTGTGTGTGTGTGTGGGAGGTAGAAAACTGCTGTGACTGACAACGTGGTGGGTCTTCTTCTCTTTTTTTTCTATTGGCTTCTAAGGGATTACACGCACACGTCGTAATTAAGTGGGGTATTGGCGTGCGGCAGAGGGACGGACAAATAATAAAAAAAAAAAAAAAGAAAGGGATTGGAAAGGAAACCTTTTTTTTTTCTTTCTTTCCTTTGTACAATCACACACGTGAGCACAAAACAAAGCGGAGGCGCCGACGTGTCACGTGGGAAATTAAAGTCAGAGAGAGAGTGGGAAAAAAACTACACGGAAGCGAAAAATGTCGAAACGTGGCCGTGAGGAGGACGAGGCGGTTGAGGTGTACGCGGCGTTACTGCGGCAGAGCGGCTCACGTGCTGTGGAGAGGATCCGACAGCGGCGGAGCGGTATTCTCCCCATTGACGCACTTGTCATACGGTACGCAATGTGGTACCTCGACACACGGGCCTTTCCCCCGTTTAGTTACGTCACTCAGGCGCAGCGTGTGATTTCGGAGGCCATTGAACGTGTGTCACAACCACAGCACTACGCGTTTGTGCCACTGCCGGCTCTTGTGGAGTCTCTCGTGACGGAGAACACGGCGGATGTAATGCAGCAGACCATTGCCCACATTGAGGAGTTTATTGACGCTCGGGATGCATTGGGCCGGTGGATCGATGAAAACACCGGTGGCGTTGCCGACTACAATGAAAACGAGGAAGAAGAGGATGTGGACACTGCGGTGGAGTTGGCTGCCACTCTCTGGAGAAGTACACTTTTTTGGGTTGCTGTCCTTGAGTACATTGAGGCCCTCTCACTTAGTAGCGCTAAAGTCAACGCCTTTGCGCTGCGCCCAAAGTACGAGCATGCACTTATGGAGCTTCTGAACTCCATTGCCGCTCCACGGGTTGTGGGATATTGGCGGCCGACCGAGTGTACAGCCACGATGCCCAGCGCGACGGGTACCGATGGCAGCGCTCCGGGTGCCTCCGCCGACGTTTGGCCGAAGGGCGAACCGATAAAAAGGGAGGTGATGGAAGAAGACACCGCTGCTGCTTCTGGACCGGACAATCCGCAGGATTCTGAACCCGCGCGTGCATTTTTGGTGAGCAAGCTGTTAGCCGATTTAACGGCACTAATCAACATTCCCAGCGATAGTCCTGCTGCTGCCGGCATCAATACAACATTCTACACCATGGTTCACGCTCGGTTGAACGTCTTGGCGGCGTGCGATCGCTTGGATCGATTTAGTACGTCCGCTGCGGTGAAACCGCCACCGCTAACACCCTCGCTGCAGGCACTGCAGGCACAACGTGACGCCAGCACGCAGGCACGCTTGCATCGGGAGGCGGAACGCATGAACCGTGGGGACATTGGCGTCCCGCTGGATTTTGTACCAAAAGACGCATACTTTCGGGCTGCTTTGGAGAAGAATAATGAAATCTTGGGCGAGGATGAAGAGATTTTCGAGGACGAGATTATGGATTATTACAAACACCACCCACAATCGGCTGCAAAGAGTCGAAATAATGTCGCACCCATAGAAAAGGATAAAAAGGCAGAGGAGCCCATGACTCTTGTGAAACCGCATCGGTTCTGTAAAGTGAAGACGGGTTACACATGGACCCAGTACAACCGCACGCACTACGATGCACGTACAAATCCTCCACCGAGAAGTGTACTTTGGTATGAGTTTACCCTCTTTTATCCTGCGCTTGCCAACACGAAGCGTGACATGAGCCGCATTTACCGTATTGAGAATACATTGAAAGGGCCAAACGATGATTACTGCATATTAGTCTTTTCCGTGGGTCCACCGTATGCGGACGTTGCGTATCAGATTGTGCGGAAGCAGTGGGATCCACGGCCTGGTGGTGTCAGGGCGAGTTTTGATGACACAGGCACATACAGATTGTTTTTCCGCTTTACGAACAGCAATTACCGGCGTTGATTTTTACCGTCGCACCGAATACCCTTTTTTTTTTCAAATAGTGGAGAATGGAAATGGGATGACCGCATACTTTTTCCCCGCCACATTGAAGGTGTGGGGAGAGAAGGAGAAAACTGAAAACATCAGGGAGGGAGGAAAGAGCTCTGCTTGCAAATGACGACGTATAGAAAACTCTCATTATTATTATTATTATTTTGTATGTGTGTGTGTGGAGGGTCATTTGTCTTCGTCTCTTTATTATTTTTTCTTTTTTTTCTCTGACGGTGACTGTGGCTGCATTTCCCTCTTGTATATATATATATATATATATATGGTGGTAGCAGGAACCGATCCGACCTGTCTGTGGAAGGAAAAGAAATGACCATTTTGCATAACCCCGGTCTTCCGCGCGTCCTCAACCGCATCACCCCGCAACGTCTTGAGTTGACGCTTATGCTCATTAAGGAGCGGAAGAAGAAGCTGCGATACCTTGGCAGCTACCTCCAGCACTACAATGATCGCACGTTTCTGTACAATGCAATGGGAGGGCTCAAGGGGACGAAGTTTATTCTTGAGCGTCATCATCATAGGGCTCAGTTCTGCCACCCCACTCTTCACTCGGAACGCTACGACGTTCGCACCGTCAAATTAAAGGGGTCACAGTTTGACCAATTAGGAAACTTTACACGTAATACATGGGATTGCTCGATTGCCACAACAAATCTTTTCCAGGACGCAACATTCCGTCGTCACCTCACTTCTGTTCACAAGGATGAGGCTATTGCCCTACTGGAAGGTTGGGGGGTAAAGTACGTTCTACTAGATGAAATACGTAAGCCAACGGTACAGGACAGCATTTACGTGCGGCATCATCTATATGCACATAAATTTCCGTATATCCCAGACCCGGTCACCAATGCGTACTACGGTGACGCCGACTGGAAGTGGAAGGGCGATCAGAAAATTGACTACAAGGAACACGGTGCTGAGACGAAGGATGATCGGAATACCTTCCGGAGTTTATGGTCATTTGCTCCTAAAGCAATTAGTAGCGCATCGGGTGTGGAAACGAAGAGGTTGGCGTCTCCTGAAAGGGCAACAACACCAAAGGATTTAAAGAAGGAGAAGTGAAACAAGAAAAAAGAAAAAGAAAAAAAACCCACAAGGGAGTATATGGCGGCATCGCGATAGAATAAATATTTATTTTCTAGTGGATTGGGGAACGAAACAAACAAAGGGGGGAGTTTTGGGAATCTTGCGGGCTTGTTGGATTATTCATACCACTTGTGTCCGTACTGGCTGCAGTTGGTGGTGAGTGTGTAGTGTGTGAGTGATGGGGGCGAGTCCGTATGGAGAGTTTTTTAGCGGCTTTTGATCTTTGGGTTTCTTATGGATGAAAGCGAAACCGTTGCCTCTCTTCCAGTGTTCATTGACCGCTCTATTCTCACATTTTTCCCCCGTTAACTCGCCAAGCAGAATCCCTCGAGAAAGAAACACACACCTCCAAAACATCCACAAAACAGCGATAAGAGGCGGGGGATTCTCTCAACTTTTCAATTTAATTTTATTTTTTTCTTAGTATTTACACTGCGACTCCTTCACAGGGCCTGTTCGGCTCTGCGGCGTTTTAGTTTGCCCTGAGTCTCGGCGACATGCGACGTACGAGCGTTTTGCTTGCGGCATCGCCGGGGGTTGGAATAGCCCCGGAGACGACACCTGTCAAGTATGTTCCGTCAATGCTTAACATCCAGAACATGTTGTGGTGGAACGGAAAGCGTAGCCAGTACCGCGCGACCTACCGCGAGAAAACGTGGTATGAGGTGAGTCGTGTGGGCGCCCACGTGAAGGGGAGACGTTCCATCATGCGCCAAAAGTACTCGCCGGAGGCATTGCGGATGGCACTTTCCATGGTGCCAGAATGGTTTGAGGTGGCGGATGTACCACGCCCACCGCAGCGCATTCGTGCGCAGTCTGAGGGTATCGTGGGGCGTTGGTACAGTAACTTCTGGACTTTGCACGCGGTGAAGTATCAGTGTCGTTTGGCCAATGTGGAGTGGCCTTTTGGTGAGCGGCAGCGACCGCGAACAAACTATGAAGAGCCTTTTTTCTTTGTTGACTTTGAGGAGAGCAAGGCAGCACGGGACTACCGTAGCCGTTGGATCAATGTAAATCGGAGTTTGGTGGGCATGTCGAAACGCATGAAGGAGGCGGAAGAGGAGACGCGTTACATGCAATTCCGGAAGCAGCAGGACACTTTTTGGTCCAACCGCAAGGTTCTAGTGAACCGTGTGAAGTCGATGTATAATCAAGGGACCATGACATCGACCAAGGAATTGCCTATTAAGACAATCAACATCAAAGCATTCCTGGCAGAGTGAGTGGGATGGGAGACATGGAGAGAAGAGGGTGAGAGAGAAAAAGGAAGGAAAGAAGGATGGGAGACACGTGCACAGCGTGAAGTGGAAAGGCATCGTGTTCATTCATTTTTATTTATTTTTACGGAAGTTTGGCAGCGGGCAGTCAAAGTAGAATTTCCCTCGATGGCTCAGTGACTCGCGCGTAAGAATTTGGAAGGGGGAACAAATGCGTTGGGGGTGCACCGTGATTTGCCACGGGGGTACTGCTGCTTGCTGTTCTCCACCCTTCTTTTCTTTTCTCTCTCTCTCTCTCTTCTTTCTTTTTACTCGTTGTCTGCATTTTTTTTTTTTTTGCTGGGTGTTGTGTGCGCGTCTGCGCGTGAGACGGTGACACTTAATTGCGTCGATTGTGAATGCGGCGGAGTGATTTTATTGTCAGCACGACAGGAATTCTAACTGGGAGGAGCTCTCTGCCCTCACGACGGGGTAGCTTGGATGCATGAATTGAGGGATTATGATGGGGGAAGGGTGGTGTTGAACGCAGACGGTTGTGTCATTTGTTTTTCTCGCGCTTGTGAAGTTATATCATTTAAATTTATTTATAGTAGAAATTATTATTATTATTATTATTTTAAAAAGGGAAATGTATGCACGCATAAGTAAAAAAAATATACTACATGTAATGTGCGCTACTGTTGCCAATTGGATGAATGGTTCTCTCCCACTTTATTTTAATACAAGCACACACACACACACACACACCACAGACACACAAATACACACATTTCTGGAATGAACTTGCCGCCGTGTCTTTTTGCAATAAAGGGGGGAATCCACCTTCTGACTCAAGACAGAGGAAGAACAGAGAGGGCATGCGCATTTTAGGCAAAAAGGTTTCCACTCACCTTCTGGAAAGCCGCATCGCACGATATTCTGTGTCTTTTGCCTAGATGGATCTTCTGCCGTTTAATTTCTTCCTTGTAGTTAATTTTTTTTTTTTTTTTTTTGCTTCAGTCCGGGGCTTTTTATTTGCTTCAGCTACATTGGTTGGATAAAGAGCACGGTGCTATTCAAATTGCTGTCTGACACATGGTTCCGCACAGTCATTTTATTTGCTCGATGGCAACTGTGAGAAAGAAGGTTTTATGTACGTTTTTTGGCTTCATTAACGCTTTTTTGAATTCCTTTTTTGATTCAGAAGATAAATACGTGTGTCTGGGTTTGTGGCCTCCATTTTACCATGGGGGCGACGGTGACACGAATGATCCCCACAACACCCGTACGCACAACGACAAAGAGAAAAGTGAGGCGTGAATTGGGAGACACTGCAACCACAAGAGTAGTTTTAGCAAACAAAAACAGATGGAGTGCCGTTTGTGTGTGCGCTGCGGTAATTTGTGGTGCTGCCCCTCTGCTCTTCTCCTCTTCCTTCTGCTTCTTCTCCCGCAGACAAGGCCTGTGCCACCACCACTACGACTAACACCGCTGCCGCCCGCACCTCAGGAACAGACACGTTGTCCCCAAGCCATGCGTCAGCCACGCCGCACCGCACTGCTGATGCTGCTTCTGTGGCTCATGATGGTGGTGTGTTGCACCGGTGTTTGCGTTGCCGCCGATCGTGCCGTGAAGCACCGCTGTGGGTTTGACGCGATGATGAAGAAATACGGCCGGCTGCCGACTGCGGTGGTGCGTGAGTTGCCGCGCCGGGGACAGGGCGCCGTGCAGGCGTACACCGCCGCCAGCGAGGATGGGGACGACGGCTGGGCTCCGATCCGCATCAAGGTGTCCGCGGAGGACATGCACGACCCGTTGAGGCACTGCACTGCGGCGGGGGATCTGCGCATTAACCACTTTGGCCGCGCAATAACATGCGAGGCGGACGACGTGTTGACAGAGGAGAGGAGGAACATTGTTTTGAGGCAAATTCTCCCCGCCGCCATTCAACTGCACGCGGAGCGTCTCTCCGTGAGGCCGGTGACGCGCCCCATCGTTATTCCACAGACCGATCTGGGGATGTGCGAGAACTTCACCATCCCACACAAGCACCACACGGTGGGTGTGGCTGGTACTGACATGATTCTCTACGCCAATATTTTTCCGACTTCTGGTCCAACCGCGTGGGCGATACCATGCTTCCTGCTGGATGATGGTCGTCCAGTTGTTGCCGCCGTGAACTTTGACCCGAAGCAAATAGTGACGACAAATGTATACGTGCGAGTGGCAGCCCACGAGTTGGGGCATGCCCTTGGGTTTGGAGACACGCAGTTTTTGATGTTACATATGATTTCCGAGGTCCCCAACGTGCGCGGGAGGCCCAAGGTGTCGGTGCTTTCAACGCCGAAGACGAAGGCGATGGCGCGTCAGTACCACAACTGCCCCACGCTTGAGGGCATTGAGCTGGAGGACGAGGGTGGTCCTGAAACTGTACTGTCACATTGGAAGAAACGCAACATGAGGGACGAGCTGATGAATGGTGATGTGGGGGTTGGGCTGTACTCGGCACTGACGCTTGCGGCGTTCGAGGACATGGGTGTTTATGTGGCAAACTACAGCGCGGCGGAGATGTTGTGGTGGGGCAACAACTCTGGCTGTGGGCTGCTGGAAAAGAAGTGCTTGACCGACGGCATCACCGAATACCCTGATCTGTTCTGCAACCAGTTTTACGACTATCCAAAGTTCTTCTGCACGTACGACCGACTGTCTCTGGGGCGCTGTGACCTGAAGAGGCACGAGGAAGCCCTGCCACAGGAGTATCAGTACTTCGCTGATCCCCGTGTTGGCGGTGATGACCTCTACATGAGCAGATGCCCGTATGTCAATAAGTATTCTAATGGTGGGTGCACCAACGGCGACCCTTCAGTAATGCCTGGCAGTGTCGTTGGCCCAAACTCGCGGTGCGTGAAGGGGCAGGATCTTCAATTCGACGACGAATATATTGGCGATGTGTGTGTGGAAACTCGATGCGGCGACGGCACACTGAGCGTGCGGTTTCTTCGTGACGATGCGTGGCACGAGTGCCAGGAGGGTGAAACCGTCACGCCGCCATCGGGTCCCTGGCGTGGGAGCATTGTGTGCCCCCAATACGCCGATGTGTGCACCGCCTTCCCGAACATCAGCAGCCACCCAATACCGGTCGTTGACCCGCCTCTAGTGGACGACCCGACATCCGCGGAGGGTGCGGAGGGAGACGGGGGTGGGGTTCCGAGGAAGCGGCCGCGGCGACTCTGATTCCGGGGCTCTGCCGCCAATAAATTTATCGGCCAGCGTGGATTGTGGGGCGGGCGGCACTGCGATGGTGGCCGGCGTGCGGCAGGGTCGTGATTTGCACATGGCTTTTCGACCCCGCACTCGCGAGACGCAGCACAGCAGTAATGATAGCACCGTGCAACTGTTGCGCTACTCCTCTCTTCGCTTCTGAAAAACGGGCAATGAGTGTATTTGTTTCCTTGTGCCTGCGATGCGTGGCTTAGCGGACATTTGTGTGCTGGAGGATTGAATTTCTGCGCAACCGCGTGGTGGCGAAGTGCTCTGGAGGGGGGAGACGAGTCCCAGCACCGCATGCACCCACATGCGTCTTTTAATGTGGGCAAGGCGATGGGAAGTCGCTGTGACCCAATGAGTGCGGGGGTGTTCGTGACTGCTGTGCTGGGGGCGGGGACGAGGACCCTCGCCGCGGCGTTCCACACAGGAGGGCCTCTCCTATATCTTATTATTATTATTCATTTTTGCTGCGGGGGAATGGCAGGCGCTGAGAGTGGGCGGCAAAACTGCCCAGCCGTGACTTCTTTGCCCAGCTTATTGGCGTGGGGACCCACCCGACGCGATCCTCCCGCCCCACGCAGGAGGCGAGCGAAAGACGCACTCGACACCTCCTTTTCGTCAGTGATGAATGGTTGTGGGAGTGGGGAGTCGTGCTGGGCTCGCCGTGGGCCACGGAATGCATCCGTCGCAGCCATGGCGACAGCATGGCGAGGGCACGAGGTGTTTACATTTGTTTTTCCTTGACTTGTGCTGGAGGAGATTAAGTCGTCGACTATTTTTTACTTTTCTCTCCTGTGCCCTCTCCTCACTCCGTGTGCGTGCCACTGCGTAGATGGTGTGATGGTGTTTTTGAGTGCCTGTGAGAAGAATGTTATCGAGAGGGCTGGCTGCCCAATTTAATATAAGTTTTGGTAAAACGACGAAAATATTTCTGTGTGATCCCTTTCCCATCTTATGGTCCTTTGAAAGGCCCCGATGGAAGGAGTTAAGGAACCGATAGCGGCAAGACGAATTTTATTTTTATTTTTTCCATCCACCCTCTTTGATTCCGACCTTGCGGCGGGGTCTTGTGGCTGGAGGGCCCAAAGTGTTCCAAATCTTAAGTAATAAATGTCTCCAATCCGAATACACCGCACCGTGGCACGAGGGTGCCTATCCGAATATATAGATGTAGTTGGGACAAACATTGAGGATGTGGCGATGCCGCTGCCTCTCCATGGCCCCCTTATTTCCCGTCCTATTTTATTTGTGCGTATCAGTTCGGGATTCTGCCAGCATCCCTGCAGAACATTTTTCTGTGCTTCGGCTTTATTTGGAGGCTTTGTTTATTTTTGTTGTCAGTGTGTGCGCTGCCCCTCTGCTCTTCTCCTCTTCCTTCTGCTTCTTCTCCCGCAGACAAGGCCTGTGCCACCACCACTACGACTAACACCACTGCTGCCGCCCGCACCTCAGGAACAGACACGTTGTCCCCAAGCCATGCGTCAGCCACGCCGCACCGCACTGCTGATGCTGCTTCTGTGGCTCATGATGGTGGTGTGTTGCACCGGTGTTTGCGTTGCCGCCGATCGTGCCGTGAAGCACCGCTGTGGGTTTGACGCGATGATGAAGAAATACGGCCGGCTGCCGACTGCGGTGGTGCGTGAGGTGCCGCGCCGGGGACAGGGCGCCGTGCAGGCGTACACCGCCGCCAGCGAGGATGGGGACGGTGGCTGGGCTCCGATCCGCATCAAGGTGTCCGCGGAGGACATGCACGACCCGTTGAGGCACTGCACTGCGGCGGGGGATCTGCGCATTAACCACTTTGGCCGCGCAATAACATGCGAGGCGGACGACGTGTTGACAGAGGAGAGGAGGAACATTGTTTTGAGGCAAATTCTCCCCGCCGCCATTCAACTGCACGCGGAGCGTCTCTCCGTGAGGCCGGTGACGCGCCCCATCGTTATTCCACAGACCGATCTGGGGATGTGCGAGAACTTCACCATCCCACACAAGCACCACACGGTGGGTGTGGCTGGTACTGACATGATTCTCTACGCCAATATTTTTCCGACTTCTGGTCCAACCGCGTGGGCGATACCATGCTTCCTGCTGGATGATGGTCGTCCATTTGCTGCTGCCGTGAACTTTGATCCGAGGCAAGTAGCGGTGACAAGCAGGAACGTGCGAGTGGCAGCCCACGAGTTGGGGCATGCCCTTGGGTTTGCAGACACGCAGTTTTTGCTGTTACATATGATTTCCGAGGTCCCCAACGTGCGCGGGAGGCTCAAGGTGTCGGTGCTTTCAACGCCGAAGACGAAGGCGATGGCGCGTCAGTACCACAACTGCCCCACGCTTGAGGGCATTGAGCTGGAGGACGAGGGTGGTTCTGATACTTTACTGTCACATTGGAAGAAACGCAACATGAAGGACGAGATGATGACTAGTGATGTGGGGGTTGGGCTGTACTCGGCACTGACGCTTGCGGCGTTCGAGGACATGGGTGTTTATGTGGCAAACTACAGCGCGGCGGAGATGTTGTGGTGGGGCAACAACTCTGGCTGTGGGCTGCTGGAAAAGAAGTGCTTGACCGACGGCATCACCGAATACCCTGATCTGTTCTGCAACCAGTTTGACGACGATGAAAGGCTTTTCTGCACGTACGACCGACTGTCTCTGGGGTACTGTAGGCTGAAGAGGCACGAGGAGGCCCTGCCACAGGAGTATCAGTACTTCGCTGATCCCCGAGTTGGCGGTGATGACCTCTACATGAGCAGATGCCCGTATGTCAATAAGTATTCTAATGGTGGGTGCACCAACGGCGACCCTTCAGTAATGCCTGGCAGTGTCGTTGGCCCAAACTCGCGGTGCGTGAAGGGGCAGGACCTTCAATTCGACGAAGAATATATTGGCGATGTGTGTGTGGAAACTCGATGCGGCGACGGCACAGTGAGCGTGCGGTTTCTTCGTGACGATGCGTGGCACGAGTGCCAGGAGGGTGAAACCGTCACGCCGCCATCGGGTCCCTGGAGTGGGAGCATTGTGTGCCCCCAATACGCGGATGTGTGCACCGCCTTCCCGAACACCAGCAGCTACCCAATACCGGTCGTTGACCCGCCTCTAGCGGACGACCCGACATCCGCGGAGGGTGCGGAGGGAGACGGGGGTGGGGTTCCGAGGAAGCGGCCGCGGCGACTCTGATTCCGGGGCTCTGCCGCCAATAAATTTATCGGCCAGCGTGGATGGCGAGGCGAGCGGCACTGCGATGGTGGCCGGCGTGCGGGCCATTGGATTTATTTTTGAAAAACGAGGAAGTCAAGAATCCTAGCTTGTGTGTGCATAAGAATGATTTTGGTCAAATGGTGTTGAGTGGCATGGGAGAATTACATCTTGAAATTGTCATGTCCCTCTTGGAGCACGATTATAAACTAAAGTGTCGACTACTACGTGCCATCGTAGAATATCGTGAGGTAGTCCTTGAGGCAGTGGAGCTCCTGCATGGTATTGGGATGTACAATGAGCTCCCATACGTTGAGTGTTCGCTGCGACTCCAGCCACTACTTGAGGAAGATGGCTTCTGCGATCCAGTTCAATATTGTTCCTTTGTTCTTGACGAGACGTTGACGGAGAAATATCTTGCTGGAGCCGCTGGTTCCCGTAATGATCGACGTCGCCGCATGGAGGATCACCACCGTAATGTGAAGGAGGAACTACGAATAAACACCGATGTTTTTTCTCGCGCAGTCACCGATTGCTCTCACATGGGTCCCCTTGCCGGTTTGCCTCTCCACGGCGTGCGGGTCGCTTTGCTGGAATTCAAAAAGCTTGGTGGCACGCAGCTGTCGGAGGGCCCTCTACAGCAGGCCGCTCGTTCTCTTGTATTGGAGCTGTTTCGCTCCGTTTCCAAGGCCAATCTTGCCACGATGGAGCCAATGATGGAGGTGGAGGTGCACCTCTCGGAGGCAGCCTACATTGGTGGTGTTGTGAGCTCTCTGAGCGAGCGTAAGGCCATTGCGGTGGACATTCAAGATGATGGGAGGTCGGTGAAAGCAATCGTCCCGATGCGAAACATAGTTCGCTACACAATGGAACTTTGGAAGGCGGTGAAGGGGCATGCCAGTCTGTACGCACGCTTGCACCACTACCGTGTAATTGAAGAAAAGGCTGTCCTCTCGCGAATCATGAAGAATTTGGGCATTTACGAAGGCCATTGATTGGTGGCGAATGCTGGTGGGCAATACAAGACGACCCTGCCGGTGCAGCGTCAGCAGTGGGAGGGAGCCGAGGCGTCTGCTCCTTCTGGAGGCGTCTTTTTTTTCTCTCTCTCTCTCTCTCTTTCTCTTTCCATGCCTGTTTTTTATTTGTGGATGTCGTGGGGCTGTGGCCTTTCCCTTTTTTTTTTTCTCTCTGTGTTGTTTTACTTCATCGGGGGGTGGTGGCGGCAGTTTGTTTCACACATTCACTCACACCCGGAGGAAAAGAGGAAAGCACACGTTTACATTTGTCTTTCTGAACAGACACAACATTCCATCCGCAGCCGATTCAAAGGGGAAAAGAGGTGTACAGGCGGGCCACATTGGGGATCCATCGGCAAGAATGCAGAAGGTTGTTGTCTCCACGCTTCCAAACAAAGTCAAAACCATCGAAAATGTCTTTATTGAACTAAGGGATGCCACGCGACTTTCGTGCCGGCTGTGGCTTCCGGCAGATGATGTGCCCCGACCAGCCATATTGGAGTACATCCCTTATCGCAAGCGCGATGGTACACGTGGTCGTGATGAGCCCATGCACGGCTACTTTGCAGGCCATGGCTACGCGGCTGTTCGTGTGGACATGCGTGGGAGCGGTGAATCGGATGGCCTTATGCATGACGAATACCTGCAACAGGAGCAAGACGATGCTATGGAGGTGATTGAATGGATCAGCAGGCAGAAATGGTGTAATGGCAATGTTGGCATGATGGGGAAGTCTTGGGGAGGCTTCAATTCTCTTCAAGTTGCGGTGCGTCGTCCACCTGCTTTAAAAGCTATCATCACGGTCGGATTTACCGACAATCGCTTTACGGATGGCATTCATTGGCAGGGTGGCTGTCTCCTCAACGATAACTTCTGGTGGGGATCCATTGTGTTGGCGTATCAGGCACGTCCAATCGATCCAGAAATTGTTGGTGATCGTTGGAAGGAAATGTGGCTTCAACGCCTGGAGAATATGCCCGTCAACATTGCTGACTGGGCTGAGCACCAAAAATACGATGACTACTGGAAGCATGGCTCTGTTTGCGAAAATTACGATTCCATTCAGATACCTGTCATGGCTGTAGATGGCTGGGCGGACGGCTACACGAATGCCGTTTTTAACCTGCTGTCAAACCTGAAGGTTCCCCGGAAGGGATTTGTGGGGCCTTGGGCACACGTTTACCCGCAGGATGGCGTCCCGCAGCCGGCAATGGGGTTTTTACAGGAGGCTGTGAAGTGGTGGGATCATTGGCTAAAAGGTACGGAGAATAACGTGATGGATGGACCGATGATTCAGGTTTGGATGGAGCATGAAATGAAACCTAGTGTTCATCGCCCTGTTAGCGAAGGCCATTGGGTTGGTGTGGAGGCATGGCCTTCTAAAGATGTTACGGAGGAAACGATGCGACTTGAATGCGGTCGTATCGTAGATTTTGCTCACGCCGTGCGACAGGAGCCTGCCTCTGTTCTGCTCAGAACTCCATTGAATCACGGTCTTCTTGCCGGTGAGTGGATGGGCGCTGGGGTTTCAGGCGAAACTCCCGCGGATCAACGTATGGACGACGGCATGGCGATGGTTTTCGACGCCGCGGAGCTGCAGCACGAGCTGGAGATTTTGGGTCGTCCCATCCTCGAGGTGGAGTTAACGTGTGACAAGCCAAAGGCGATGCTGTTCGCCCAACTCAGCGACGTCTCGCCGGATGGCGCAGTGAGTCGCATTTCCTTTGGCGTGAAGAACGTGACACAGGCCGCAGGCGATCAACGAATTGAATACCTCCAAGAGGGGAAGCGGGTTCGTGTCAGGGTTCTGCTGAACTATTGCGCTCATCGTTTTACGAAAGGCCATCGTATTCGCCTCTCTCTTGCGAACAGCCAATGGCCAATGTTTTGGGTATCGCCTGAGATCAACACCCTGTCGTTGGACCTCAGCACGGCCACGCTGCGGCTACCCACGTACCGCGGGCCGGCCATTGCCGGTCCAAACCCGCAGCCAGAAACAGCCGCTCCCACACCCCTCACGGTCCTGCGTGCGGGGTTTGTGGATCGGTCCATCACGTACGACATTGTTAAGGATGAGTGGACATGCATAACAGATGGTGTGGGCGGTGTCTTTGGCGATGGAGTTTACCGCTTCGATGAAATTGGCACAGCCGTGGAGCACAACTTGAGGCGAGAGCTAAGACTCTCCAACAAGGACCCGCTCTCCGCAAGGTACGACATCAAGCAGAAGATGAAGATGGGGCGCCCTGGATGGGAGGCGGATATTGACATTGACACTCGCCAAACGTGTGACGCGAACTATCTTTACGTAACCGCGGAGATACAAGCAAAGATGAATGACGAGATCGTCTTCGAGAAGAATTGGTCGCGTCGAGTGTACCGTGAAGGGATGTGAGTGCTGAATGGGGCCGGCAGGCTGGGGGAGTGGTAGCCGCCTCCCATCTCTGTCTGTCATCAATCACTTCTTTAATATTGAGCAATAAAAGTAAACAAAACCTTTCCCCTCTCCATTTATGCTTTTTTTTTTTTTTTACTTCGAGCGCATATGCACATCTACGGTTTTACCTATTCAAAGGGAAAAAGAGATGCCAGGGTGAGGGAGGCGATCTGCAACCGTGTTTGGTTTATTTTTTTTAATTATTTTTTTGGGACAACCCGACAAGAAGACATGCACGAGTGAAAGGGAGAAATACATAGGAAGGGCTTGGGAAGTGAAACTGGATCAAAATGCCCTCTTCTTGACTTGTTGAAGGGCCTTTGGTTGGTTAGGAATCGTCTTTTTTTTTTTTAATTCTCCACCCAACCTGACATGCACGTCCACGCACGGAGGGGGACGGAGAAGCCGCAAGACTTTTTTTTTTTCTTCGCTTAACTCCTTCCTGCGTTTGCCGCCTTTAAGGGACTACAGAGCATTCCCATTGTTTTTTTTTTTTTTGTTGCTCTTTCTTCGCGTGTCTTTATGTTCATGAGATAAAAGTCGGTTCTTTCATATTCTTAAACTTCACATCGGGCACTTCTGTTTGAGATCCAAGTGGACGACATGCAGAGCACCTCGCACGGAGACCATCACGGGGACCACCATCACGTCGGGCATCACCATGGCGGCTGCAGCGCCACCACGGGGCCATACTCTTTGGGGCTGCATGTGGGAGCCATTTTTATTCTTTTGTTTGCGTCGTTTCTGGGGACGGTTATCCCACTTGCCGGGAAGTATGTGCCGGGTCTGCGGCTGAGCCCATTCTTGTTTGTTCTCGGCAAGTGTGCGGCGACTGGCGTGGTGCTGGCCGTTTCGCTACTTACCATGATTCATCACAGCATGCACAGCTTTGCAGAGGATTGTATACCCAAAGGGCTCCATGCTGATACGTATGACGCGTTTGCATTGCTTTTTGCGATGATTTCGGCGATGCTGATGCAGTTGCTTGATGTCTTGTTGGACGGCATGCTACAGAGCTGGTCAGCCTGCGACGCTGGAGCCCAAACTTCGACAACTGTGGGGGAACCGGGAAATGAGCAAAAACAAGACGGCAGATGTGCGGGCTCATGCGGTATGGAGGGATGTGGGGATCAGCCGGGACCGAGTTGTGAAATGGGAGGGTGTTGCCAGAATCGTGGGGCCCTTTCTGCAGCTCA